GAACTCGTTAGGTCTGAGTTTTCGGAAAACATGCGATGAGTTGAAGCATCTCAATCCCCGAAGTCGAAAACCGGATCGGTTCAGGTGGGATAAAACAATGCACAAAACAGTTTTCTTCAAACCGCGACGGTTCAGAGGCTATTTTCAACCGTCATAGTAGCTAGGTTAGCGTTCACGAACGATCGTTTCATGCATTCAGACTCAGAAATCTAGGCAATCCGATCAACGTGCTACCTACAGGTAACCAGATAAGTCAATACAAAGCCTCATAAGAGATTATCCACAGTCAACTATTCTTAATTAACAATTGACACCTTGGAAGAAAAAGACTTTTACTTTGTCATTTAAATGCAAACTCTCGTTTGCGCCCAATGCAAGTGCCTAAAGCACCGTCGTTCGCTTTCAGTACAACAATCGATTCGATGTATTATATTCATATGAATCTTTCTGGCTTCTTCAAGCCGGATGTTGGACGCAAATCAGTTAGAGCGATCAATTTAGCGGATTAAGACGTTTGAATTCTTCACACAGATCTCCCGAATAACTCAGACCCGATGTGTTCAGCCAGACCAAATGTGTGTTTTGTCACCGTCCGTTACGTCCATCTTGCAACAACTGACTACTGTGACCTACTTTTTACTAGCGGTAAAAGATTAACACAAAACGTTAGATGCACATACGATTCATGTTTGGGTGGGTGGGTGGATGTAGGTAGGATGATGATGGAGTCAATGCGTTGTGATCACGCAGTGTTTTTGAACTCAGTTTTACCGGATCAAAGTGCACATAAAACACCACAAAAATTTGAATGTTCATGTTGAATGTTGAAAATTTCCACAGAGAACAAATTCGCTACCGGAATTGAGGTGACACTACTCACTTTGGCCGCTTTTGCGTTCCGGATGGTGATCAATTGTTGCGCAATCACAGACAACACTTCAATATCAATTCGATTGAACTCGTCAAAGCAACACCATGCACCGGACTGAGCTAAACCGGAAAAGAATCGACCCATCATTTTGTAGTCCAAACCATCGGAACAATTAAACACGACACACTGTTTGGCCACGGATTTGGATAAATCTTTTGTCGTCTCCGTTTTTCCCGTCCCAGCCGGACCAGCTGGAGCTCCACCTAGATCCAATTGGAGCGCACCCATCAGACACAGATAACATCTGACGATGAGGAATTTACGGAAGAGACAGAACTCACGTATTAGTTTCAGTCATGACCGAATTTCGAGAACTACTCAGAAATCGGAAGATCAAGAAATTCAATAAAAAGAGCAATTGTCCGAATATAACATCATTGTACAATTGTAAGAAAAGTGTCACAGCAAACAAGCTGATTTGCGGTGATGCATCTACAGGCTAATGGATCACTATTTGTCAAAATGTTTAGTAAGGGGAGGGGAGAAATCATGATAAAAAAGGGGAAAATAATCCACATTCCACTTCCATGATCGGACGTTGCTTTCTCTTTGGTAATCACATACACACACACACAAACACACACACACACGCACATTGGTTCGGGTCATTAACTACGGGTGGGGTAATGAGTATGTCGTGTGTGGTATTTGCCACGGGAGAACGAGTCTTCTTACGAATTGTTTTTGTGAGCATAGGGAGGGGGGATAGTTAGGCAGATTCCGATCGCTTTCGGTGTGGTCAAAATAGTACTCCTAATCTTATTAGATTGACGGTTGCGAACTAAAAACAAGGGTAGAAAAGTCTCGACCTTTATTAACGATTAGGTTTGACTCTCCTAGGTGTTAAACGATTAAGCTTTCGTTAGTTCTAATCACTCCGCTATTCAACCAAGCCGGGTGGTACTTGCAAACGCGTTCAGATAAGCGTCTGTTTGTGCGGCCAATATAGTCGGACTCACAGGAGCAGGTAAATAGGTACTAACAGACAGAGATTACAGAAACAGACAACTTATCTTTGAGTTTAAAGGGTTAGAATGACTTGGAGATGAACACAATGTACAGCTTCGCAATGAAAGATGCTTTTTCCACAACTGTACTATAACTAGTTTATCTGTCACCATCTCGTCAGTTAGGTAGCTCTTAGAAAGTAGTGATGAGTAAACCGGTGTCTCCCCAGTGGTAGTATTATTATTCGGCAATCGGTGACGCCTCAAAATCCTGTCAATAAGTTGTTCAGGGTTTCCATTATGCATAAGTTCAGTTCAGGTCAGTTTGTACAATCACTAACCCTGCACTTTCGTGCACCGGTTTTGGTTGCTGTCTTTTGGTCGCCCATTTGGATGAACAGCAGTAGAAATAAAAGAAAGTTGAAAGTAGAGTCGAATAGAAAATGGCGAAGTTCAGTGGACTAATGTTGCAAAGAAATCGAGAAGATGCACAAATGCCACTGCTTACGACAATCAGCCATATCTCAGTTCAATCTCAATGGTATCGTCTGTTCAAATTCTCCGCGCTCTTTGAAACGGGTAATGATTATTCTACGGCGGTTCCCTGCGGTTGGTACGATGGATAGCTCCATCTGGTCGAAGACTTAGTAGAGCGTCCAGGAATGCGACCGGCTCATTCGCATCATTCCCGGAGTAAACTTTGTCTAGATGAACAGGGTTAAATAGTTTCAAGAGTCTTGACAGATTCATACTGTCCTCGAAAAAAGCACGAAATTCCATCCCCATATCGCCTGTACAATGAGCAACGATCGACTGTTCGTTTGAGGATGTTATTCTTCAGCTTGGCCATAAAGATATCTTTGAGTTGCGAGAGAAACGCTGTGGTTGGATCCGCTTCCGTTCCTTCTGTGTTGAAATGAGGCAGAACTCAGTCTTGCATGTTGTCGAGCTCGCTTGTGGATGTCGACTGGAGTCTGTTGTGGCTTAAAAGTGACTGGTACGTTTGTCGCGCTTGTTTGTGGCCAGATTGATCGATCGATCGATTTATTGACAGATGCTTACAGCTCGCCTACACGCACGCACTCACGCCATGCGGACTGACTCTACCACAATATAGATTGGCTCAAGCCAATCAAATATTAGTATTGAACTTTTCCCACGCTGATAGATTGGTTGACTGTTTGAATACCTGCTTGATCGCATTCGGTCTGTCGTGTGACGCATGAGTCAGGCATTTGGACCGGCTACATATTTACCCATTTACTCATTTACGTCCTGAAGCGAGACACAACAGAATCGTTGTAGTCAAACAGAGATCCAGTGCGAATCGCTCTATACTGACAAACTACGTGCAACAATAGACAATAAAATATAAAAATTAACATTTCTTTTATTGATGAGCCCTGTGACTGTTTTCCCCATCCCATCAGAATTCGATAACCATCCTCGTAATAAACGAACTTTGTAAGTTTGAAATCGAACTCATGAATCAAATCTAATCATGTTTTGTCGACCTTCAACTAATTATCCTCAAAGTTACAGTAGTTAATCCAAACATAACACTTAGTCATTGGTCGATCATGTAGCTCAGGGTTTTCAACCCCAAGCGGAAAGTTCAACTCCTTGATGGAAGACAAAATATATTCCTTGCTAACCAGTAATAAAAAGAGATGAAACAGCTGTTCAGTCGTCAGTAACCACAAATAGTTTGACCTTAAGTGAAATTTCGTTTAGATCATGTCGTGAGTTGCATTCCAGGTCACGAATTCATCACGCACCTGTCTGTGAGTGGAGTGATCACCAGTCGAGGTGATGCGCCCAAATATTCGTATCCGTATGTGTAGCACGCGTTTGCCATACGGACCACACATGTGTCCACATCCTCGTCCCAATAGTAACGTAATTGACGTTGCCAATCGAAATTGGTCAACGAGTCCACTTTACTGGCCACCAGTTCAGTGACCATGTCACGTGCGTGTACATCGATGGTAATCAACGCGCAGAGTAACGCACGAAGCAGTTTGGGTAATTCACCCCGGACCATGGTAGCCAATTTGTTCAGTTCCTAGGGTCAAATATAAGAAGTGTTCGTGAACATCTAAAAGCTACGATGATTTACAATAACGATAATTGTCTTGTTAATGTGAATACCGATTATTCATACGGGTTGCAATTTGCGTCACAAAGGAGTTTGCTAATACGTAAAACCATGATCTCGATGGATAAAAAGTGTCACATACCTGAAAACATTTTTTCTCATACTCTTCCAAACCCTCCAAACGATCCTCGGGAAATGGATCTTCCAGAATCAGTGTGATATCACGTGACCACATCAACTGTTCCACAGTGAGAATAATTTGATTCGCATGGGACCGGAGCCATTCGTCTCGTTCACTACTCTCAAAGCTGTGTATGGCTACTTTCATCAGTTTACGCAAATTGGTAAACATGGCCTCTTCTACTTTGCCCAACCAGTCTTCCACATTGCCACGTGCTTTCAGACCCTTAAAAGTCAGTGAAAAAAGTGCATATAATTTGAAGTAGACCAGTGCTATAGACAAGAGAATGAGCATGCATGAAAGCAGATACTATCAGACCGTTTTGGGATAGCTTAGACATAAAAGTCCTGGTCTGTATTGACATGATTCATATTAGTGCCGAAACAAAATTTATTTGAATTGACAGTAGTAAACAAATTCATCTATGGTGTCTTATTCCAAAGCCAAAGACAACACAGCGAGGGAATGGAGAATAGGTCACGAGGCTCTACCGGAGGGGTGGGTGGGAAGTAGTTGACAATGATAAATCATAATCAAATAATTAATATTCTCATCAGTATTTTTCGACATGCTTGTTATGTAATCACTTTGGTGACGAATTGTAGTAGTTAAAGTGGTTACAGATCACAAATTATATGAATCAGGAATCACAAAGCCCGGATGTAACGGAAACATTGAATCACACTAGTCGTCAATGAGAGACACAAGAAAACGGTCACACAGGTTGCAGTTCGTACATTGAAAGAAACCGATGAGATTCACTTAGATATACAAAGGAAGTTTATTGGCTATACATGTCTCCACCAGTCGCCTGCTACCATTCTTGACATCATACAACTTCTGTCCGGACCGCATGAATTCTGATTGGTCAGCACGATTCTCTCGCGATTTGTTGTCCAGAAACAGTCTGTTACGTTTCCGGATTGTCCAGAGCGAGAGTAAGCATAAAAACCGTCTGACTGTCTGATCCGTGTATGTTCGAATGAATGAGGCAAGCACTAAACCACATGACAAGAGCGACAATCATAACATCATAAAAGGTCAAGGTCAATGACACTGTCTGTCCACCTGCTGACCATTGGCACCCTCAACACTTACGCGTAGGTGATTGGCTGGCATCATCTGGGAGGGTTGACTCACCACGCGAATGTTGTATCTGAGCTTGTTCAACTAAATCATAATTCTCTTCGTGATCGATAGCGGACGGCCTCTGGTCTAGTCCGATTAATTAAGTGACTTGTCTCCACAATAACAGGTTTTCTGTATCTAATCCATCAGGTGTTTGATCTGTGCAGCTTTATTCACGAGAACAAGTGAATAGGGAAACGCAAAAGGAGGTTTTCTGCACTGGCATCCGGTTTTTAATCCGTGATGAGAGCACTGGTTTAGGACAGAAGATTATGCATGATTCCGCGGCATAAAATTTGCTCAACAAAATTACGCACTCTGAAGGTCTATATCACCCTTAACACTGGAATTTTATTGCACTGGTTTTCGGTGCTGTTCGAATCCAAATTCGCTCTATTCGATCCCCCATTCTATCCGCTTGGATAGAGGCCAGGTATTGCGATCGTGAGTTCCGTTTCAGTTTGGACAACCAACCGTAAAGCAGAACACTACGAACTGCGGCTAGGTACACGTTTCCCTTAACGTCTAGTTGGATATCATGGCGGTGCCACAGGTGTCGCAGGTTGGTCAAAGCTGCCTTAACGTTCGCTATTCGTGATTTGATCTCTGAAACACGACCACCAGCTGCAATCAAGCTCCCGAGGTACTTAAAGCTCTCAACTATCCGATGTCCAGGAAGGGCAAATGCAGGCGGCCAGTCTTGAACGAGCACTTTGCACTTTGATGGTGCAAAGCACATACCATACATGGATACGTCGATCGATAAGCGGTTTGAAGCGTGTTAAACTGCCTGTATATTGTCACCCAACAAGGCAGTTTCATTGGTATATTTTACGTCAAGTACTCTGTTCCCTGGGAGGAGTTCAACTTCACCATTTTCTGGACTGGATAATGCGTTCTTTAGAACATTCTCTGTGACAAAGTTGATAAGGAATGGCAGCATAGTAGAATTCTAGTGGAAACCGTAAAGCGTGGCGAAGCTAACTATAGGCCCTAACCCGACCTGAGGTATGACGATACAACTCTTTAAGAATTGACACATTCTCCTCTGATACTCCATTTCTCAACAAACAGTTCCATTGTGCAGCCTTATCGACAGGATCGAAGGTCGAGTGGATGTCTAAGGACGCAATGATCGTTGGTCTTTGACAGGCATAGCGGTGCTCTAGCACCTGTTGGAGGGTGGAGATTTGATCGATTCATTCAAGACCGGGGTGAAAATCAGCCTGTTGCTCAGGGGCATGTTCTTCACACGTCTTGTAAGATGTAAGAAGAATAACGAACGCTAGCAACATTGACAGGCTGAGGTTTATAGTGCTGTAGTTGATGTAAGCACTTCGCGGGCCCATTTTAAAGATGGGGACTATCAGCAATCCTTTCTCACAAGGAGGGAACCTGCTTATAGAAGGGAGTCACCAATTTCACTAAAAATAATTATTCCACCGTTTTTAAATAGAGCTAAGAGAAGGCCGTCGGAGTTTGGCTCTTTGTGACGTTTCCAGGCTTAGATCTTCTTACGGATTTCCGTCTCAGTAGGTGGATTTGTCGTTGCAGGCTGTGGGAAGTGTGCCGGAATAGCTGTATTAGAAGCTGCCACTGACAGCCAACTAATCTGCACCCTGAAATGCTCCAACCAGTGTGCAAGACATCGTTTGTGATGAAAAATACTCGGTTCGTCAGCTTCAAACATCATTAAGAAAATGAAATGTCTTTTTACTTCCTTTTTTTATTTATTGAATATGCAAATATACAGTCAATTTTCAGGAAGGAGGTTGCAACCAGACATAGGCTGCATACATCAAATGCTTTTCTACCGATAACCCTGATGAGATGGAACAGTTTATTGAACTTTCTCATAGTGGTAACACTTCCATCTCTGATGCTCGTTGAACCCACCAGATTTCGTCTTTAAGTTTTTGGTGTCAAGACAAGACGCGTCAGGTCAAAAGTAACTAATCCAGTGGAATTCTTGCTGAGCGACCATTGCTAACTGATGTTATCTAATCTAGCATTCAAATTTACTACCAAAATCACGGTTTCATCTCTCTCATTCAGACTCACGTCCAAGCTGAAAAGACTACAAGCCACAGCCATAGTGTCCCCGGAAAGACGTAATTAAAACTTCGTAGATAGGTTTGATGGGGACGTTAGTCAAATGGTGGAGCTAGACTTTTGAATGCCAATTTACTGGACACATCACACATCGATGGCTAGGGTCTCGAACGTATGAGCTAAACACGCTTATTATCCTATAGACTGTCGAGTATGTGCGTTAGATGTGACTGGTTTGAATGAGCATAGAGGACGAAGAAGAGTAGGCCCTGTTCGAGGGTGCACTCTAGCATTTGCCCGATCAAGAGCGAACTGCAAGGCGGTAACATTGTTCCGGATGAACTGATGACCGGTTGAGTGGTTCATTCGTCGTTTTTAGGAAAAATTTGTCGGGTAGATGGAACTTGACATGAAAGGAAATGGTCATATTCGGTAGTGGGTCAAACTTGCCACGTCACAACATTGTCAAAAGATACATGCGGTGTTTTGTGTGGAGAACCCTTGCAAAATGGTAAACACATCACATCCTCGAGCACTGTTTATGATCGTCCGTGACCGCTTATTCAGTGAACCTAAATTCATCGATATTTAATGGTTGTGCTCTCATCCACAACCCGGGGACGCTCTCGGTAGCATACAACTCGGTTTTGGCTCTGTGGCAAATTACAGATTTCAATGCATGAACATTTAAGACCGTTCGGTAGAGCAACACTTTGAAAAACACATTCCACAAACTACCAGTAGAAAACCGATCAAACTAGACCAAGTATCACTAACCTTTCCTAAGGCAACACGTTCGCCTTCAGGTGAAAGCATGGCCAAAATATCATTGGTGTACACTGGTTCGTCTGAAAAAAGTAATGAATGAGATAGAAAAGATAAACTTGTGTGAAAAGCTGACACAAATGAGCCTTGGGGCAATATTAAACAGAAACCAAAGGTTGGCATGCACTAGTTGTACGTTTCACGTTTATTAGTCCACAACAATAGTAAGAGTTCACGGACCCTACAGTGGATCGGAGCAGGGACTAAACAGGTTCAACAAAAACTTACTACCTATTTTATCACCAGGAAGTGTATCATGATACTTCAATTTTCTCAATATTTCCTCTGGAAACATAAGATTCCATTCCGGGATTAGATATTAATACGTATCGACAAAAAAGAAAGCCTAAGTGCTTGTGAACTGCCTGGGCTGCCATGCTCGAGTATGCTGTGAACTTAAATCCATTATCAGTAAGGCAGCTCGGACATTGCGTGTAATTTGCAGTCTAAAGTATTCAAGCGAATTGTACTAACTGGTGGCGTAATTCTCCTGCATCACTTATAGGAACTGACGAATGAAACTTTGTCAGGTCGCCGACTTGGCGATCGATTGCATTTGACACACACACACACACACACACACACA